GTTTTAGTTAGGAATATTGGTGCATTTTGGTAAAGATAGAGAAACTTAGGAAGAGCCATCATTTTGATGGCGTTGACTCGCCCAATCACAGATAAGGGTAGCAACCTCCAGGTTTCAGTACTAGATTTAAGTTTTTCTAATAAATTTAAATAGTTCAGTTTATAAATCGGCTTTGGATCTTTAGGAATAATCAGGCCCAGGTATCGGATTTTGTCTGTAACAATATGGAAGGGCAAGCTGTTGAGAAAATGTGGGTTCAAGTTGTTTTTTAGGGGCAGAAATTCACTTTTATCCCAGTTCACAGTGTAACCAGATAGTTCACCAAACATTTTAATAAACTCAAGCAACGGAGGGATAAATTCTTCAGGCTGAGAGAGAAAAAGTATTATATCGTCCGCATAGAGCGAGATATGATGGTCTAGTGTGCTAATATTAGCGGGGCTATGGAAGAGTGATTCCTTATACTAGTGGCAAGGGGTTCGATTGCTAATGCAAAAAGCAGAGGGCTCAGCGGGCAGCCCTGGTGGCAGGAGCGCTGCAATAAAAAAGTAGCTGATTTATCATAGTTGGTGAATTGGAATGTTTATTATGTGAAGTGCCTCGAGACGACTCTTGTCGTGATTTGGCGCTATATATATAAACTTGAATTGAATTGAATTGAATTATTACCGAGGCTCTCGGGCAGGCGTACAGCATTTCAACCCAGGAGGCTAAAGTTTCACTCAAGTGAAACTCCAGAAGGTATTTCCACTCGACCTGGTCAAAAGCCTTGTTTGCATCAAAAGCTAAAATAGAGGCTTTGGATTTATTATCATATTTGGTGTACATTATATTTATCAGCCGCCTAACGTTAAAGAAAGAGAATCTTCCTGGGACAAATCCAGTTTGGTCATGATGGATTATGGTCAATATATGTTTATTTAGTCTGTTAGCAAGAATTTTGGTGAACATCTTAAAGTCCGAGTTAAGAAGAGCAATAGGGCGGTATGGGGCAGGGTCCAATTCATCCTTACCTTTTTTCAGTATAAGGGAAATGTTAGCTAGATACAAAGTTTCAGGAAGCAGCCCAGTAGTGATAGAGTGATTGAACATCCGTAGCATAAAAGGGGTGATTTTATCTGAATATGTTTTGTAGAACTCTATATTAAAGCCATCTGGGCCGGCCGCTTTTCCACTGGGAAAGGAGCGTATTGCCTCTGCAACTTCCTCCTGAATGATGTTTGCATTTAGGTCCGCTTGAGCCGTGGCACTCAGTTTAGGTAGGTTGAGGGCGTGAAGGAAGTCAGAGATTTGTGTGGTATCCGCTGCGGTTTTTGATGAATAAAGGTCTTGATAGAATTGTTGGAAGCATTTGTTAATATCTGCTGGGTTAGTGGTGACTATGCCTGTGTTTGTCTTAATTTTGTGAATTGCTCGTTTAGCCTGATTGTTTCTGAGCTGACGAGCTAACAGTTTGTGTGGTTTGTCGGCCAGTTCGAATGCTTTTTGTCTGATTTCTAATAGCATGGTGCTCGTTCGCTTAGACAGGATAGTGTTGTATCTAAATTTAAGTTTCAAGATCTCATTTAGTTTAGAGGGTAAAGGAGACTGTTGGTAATCACTCTCAAGGATTGATAATTGGGTATTAATTTCTGACATTTTTCTCTGCTCTTCCCTCTTCAGCTTAGCTTAATAGGCTAAGATGTGGCCCCGTGCGACAGCTTTAAAAGCTTCCCAAAGAGTGGAATCTGTGACGTCGCCTGTGTCGTTCTGGGACAGATAGTCCGTTATAAGATTATCCATGTATTGGCGAAAATGCTCATCTTTAAGTAGTAGTGGGTTGAACCGCCAGTCGAAAACAGGTTTGGTCCCGCCTATGCTGATTTTAACTTCAACGGGGCAATGGTCGGAAATTAAAATGTTGTGGTATTTGGTGTCAGTTACCTCTGGAGTTAGTTTAGCATCTGTTAGAAAATAATCGATTCTTGTATATGATTAATGTACATGGGAGAAGAAGGCGTAGTCCCTGCCAGTGGGGTGTTGAAGCCTCCAGATGTCAACGAGGTTCATAGAGTTAATCAGACTGTTTATGGTAAAGGTGGATTTGGAAGGAACAGTTGGGCATGAAGAAAGTCTGTCAGTAAAACAATCCAGTACCGTATTGAAGTCCCCACCTACGATTAAATGAGTGGTGGAGGGATCCGGGATGAGATTAAAAACTTTTCTAAAAAATCCGGGATCATCAAAGTTGGGCGCATATATATTAACGAAAGTTACATGTCGCGTCAAAATATGGCCTGTTACAATAATATAGCGACCGTTTGGGTCAGAGATTGTAGAAATGTGTTGGAATGAGATATTTCGCCGTAGTAATATAGCTACCCCTCTGGCTTTAGAAGAAAATGTTGACTGATAAATTTGAGAGATCCAGTTATATTTTAGCCTCCATTGTTCTGTATGTTTAATATGTGTTTCCTGTAAAATAATAATGTCCCCAGCTAAAGACTTCAGGTGAGAAAAAACCTTGCCTCTTTTCAGGTTGGTTCTCAGACCTCTAACATTCCAACTCAGCATGGTTAGAGTGCCACCTTGTGGTGAAGACGGAGCAGTATCAATAGCCATGTAGAGACACTACCAAACTAATATGACCCATCCGCAATAATGAAGCCGCTAGTACTGAAAAGAAGAATGAAAAAACAATGAAAAACAACAACAAAATAGTAACCCTTCCCTTCCGCCATCCCTTTGTCTGCTCCCCCAAACGGAGCAGAGCATAAACACCCTCATAAACATTGGGAAACGTACTAACACTACATGGAAAAGTCCAGTTAAACTGGCGTTGTGACTAGTAGTAACCATAACATACAAGTACCTTAACGGTGAGCTTTCCGAGTGGCCCGTTCACCCTCATGTCTCACAGCTTGCAGATAAATTAAGTTGGGCAGAGAACAACAGTATTTATTTCATGTGGGGAAACCGCAGACAGTCAGCTGATCCTGTGCCGGGCAACTCCGCGGGTGGCTCAGGTGTGCTGTGCAGCAGCAGTGGATGTGACGAACTTGTCTATGAGTTCTTCAGCCTCGGCGGGTTTCAGAAATATTTTCTGCTCGGTCCCCAACGTGAGGACCAGTCGCGCAGGGAAGAGGATGCCATGTTTTATACCCGCCTCCCTCAGTTTCTTTTTCACATCGTCAAAGGCCCGGCGTTGCTCAGAGACTTCAGGAGAAAAGTCTGGGAAAATGCTGATCCGGGCTCCGTTGAATAGCAGGGGGGATTGCCGACGGGCAAGGCTGAGTATTTTCTCTTTCGCTGGGAAGTGATGGATTTTGGCAATCATTGCGCGCGGGCATGCCGAGGAGGATTTTGCACCTATCCAGTGTGCTCGGTCTACCTTGAGGCCGCTGGGGAAGCTGTCGGGTCCGAGAAGTTTTGGCAGGAGATCAGCTATGAAGTGAGTTGGATTTCCCTTCTCGGCAGTCTCTGGTAAGCCCGTAATTTTAATGTTTGAGCGCCTTGAACGATTTTCAGGGTCAAGTAGATTTCGCTTCATGGCCGTGTTGGAATCCAATATTTCCTTGTAGCGTTGCTCCAGGTCTGTGATGCGGCCTTCATGGTCTGTTGCCGCTCCCTCCAGGTCGGTAATATGTGCGGTGTGGTCGGTGAGGGAGGTTTGAACAAGGTGTAGTTTCGCGTCGAATCCATCAAATCTTGCTGTTAAGTCCGACTCCAGCCTCGTGATAGCAGCCAGGACGTTAGCGAGCGTTGGTTGTGAGTTAGGGCGCTGGTTGATGCCGGTAGTAGCCTCTGAGGTTAGCTCCTTCTTCAGCCGACAGAGTTGTTCTATTGTCTTCCTCAGCAGGAGAGTCAGGAATAGTGGGTTTACCCTTGGCTTTAGGCTTGCCCATGGCGATGCTCAGGTGATGCAAGTGCAATTTTAAAAGCAAATTTAACGAGGGTTTCGCGGAGCTCGACAAGAACGCGTCTATTCCATGTGGTGCTCTCTAGCGCCTCATTATTTGTACTTTCACTGTTGACATTCACATCAACTGTACAATTCACATGATCTGTAAAATTGCAAATACATAAATAAAATATATTTTTTTAAGAGGTTTTGCTTCAGGTGGCCTGTCTGAAGCTTTCTCTAGAACTGAGGAATCACCAGAGTGATCTGGTTTTAAGGTTCTCATGTTATGATTTGTGTAGCCAACCAGAGGTTGGCAAGTTTGAGGAATGTTACCAAGAATCTCAGAAACACGCCTTCTTTGATACCGGAAGCTCTGATCTGGGTAAAGGACTATCTATGTGTCATGAGTTTAACTTTACCTTACTTGTTCTTGTGTGAGTGCAAATGGTGATTACCTTGTCACGTAAACATGCTGAAACGTATTTCAATCACTGTAATCATAACATAACATTCATTTCAAACTTCAATCAATGAGCATGTTAATGAAACATTTCATTATATTATAATTATTATAAGTAGCAATAAACAAACGTTTATTTAATGATTATCTAGCTTATAAGTTGTAGAAGTTCACATTTAATTTAGGAAGTCATTCTTTGATTTAGCAACTGATCTGAGCTGCGAGTGTTCCTTATTCAAAGCCATGAAGAATCCTGTAGGACGATAAGGATGGACCTTGAGGAGAGAACATTATTGTTGACAATCCGTTATCATGCGTTCAGAGCTGCACGCTCTGAGCTCCATCTGATGGGATGAAGGCAGGCCAATTTAAAGGGAACACATGCAGTCTTGTGTCTCCTTTTTGACCAGATGTTGACCAGATGTTGAATGGTCAAACTGTACCTAAAAACTGACCATTGCTGGACGTTACATAGACAACAGTCCAGGAAGACACAGTAGATGTTAACTTGGCGTTCCTAGCTCAGAGTCGGACCCTTTGCTGCCCCTCTAGACTTCTTCTGAGCCACGTCCCTGGTTCTGCTCTCCCTCCTCTCCTCTGCTGCATCTGTCACCATGGTAACAACTTGCACCCTTAACTTTGGTATTTCTGTTTCAGGAATGTTGACCATCACAGACTTCATCAACATTCTGACCAGATACTACAAATCCCCCATGGTAACACACACACACACACACACACACACACACACACACACACACACACACACACACACACAAAATCAGGGTTCTGACTCAGCTCTCTCTTCACCACGACAGACCGATACAACGCCCGCATCACTGCAGATGCATCCCCAATCCGCCTATCAATCTCACGCTCCAGCTTTCCCTCACTCGTGATGATAGGGATGGGTACCTTTGACATTTGAATCGATCCGGTACTAATTCCCGGTACCTACGAATCGATACCGGTACTCAACGGTACCAATTTTCAATACTTTTGAGTGTTTATTATTTTAATTCTCTTTTATAATTAGATATATATTTTTCTCATTATATAACCATATTTGATAAATATCACGATAAATAACATTCAACTGTTTGTATTTTAACATCGTCCTTGTAGTTTTATAAGCTGATAATTAAACTGAAGCAAACATCTTTACTGTGAACTAAATTTACTGTGTATCTTCATTCCTTTTGCCGTCCTTTTTCATTTGATTTTTCCTACTGGGAAGTTAGAATTTCCGAGGAGAAAGCGAACGCACCATTAGATGATAACAATGGTGGCATAGGAAGCTAACATACCAAGCTAACGTTATCTTAAACAGTTTATTTAACTGCTGGAGCAGATTAAAACGATGATGCCTCACACTTAGATCGTTGTCGCTGGTTTCATCTTCACCCAATCACCCGTCGCATTTAGTAAAGTGAAGCCAAACTTTAGAGCGCGTTCATGTTCTTCTAGTCGGAATTTCGGAGTTCCGAGGAGAAAGCGAACGCACCATTAGTGAAACGGAAGCTAACATATCAAGCTAACGTTATCTTAAACATTTTATTTGCCTACCGGAGCAGATTAAGATGAGGATGTCTCACTTAGATCGTTGTCGCTGGTTTCATCATCACCCAGTTACCCATCACATTTAGTGAAGTGGACCCAAGCTTTAGCTTTCGTTCTTTCTACCATGCTGCTCTGTTTACAACTCGCTCGCAGCGAGCGACGACATAACGCTCTTGTGCATGCGCAACTGTCTTGGCAAGTTCTCGTTATGAAGGACGGGTACCGAAACGAGGCACCGTTTCAAATGAAGTGAATCGGTGCTCGGTCAGTACTGTGGAATTCGGTCGGTACCTTAAAAAGTACCAAATTCTGTACCCATCCCTACTCGTGAACAAGACCCCGAGATACTTAAACTCCTCCACTTGGGGCAGGACCTCATCCCTGACCCGGAGAAGGCATTCTACCATTTTCCAAATCAAGACCGTGGTCTCAGATTTAGAGGAGCTGATTCTCATCCCAGCTGCTTCACACTCGGCTGCAAACCGCTCCAGTGAAAGCTGGAGATCACGTTCTGATGAAGCCAACAGGACCACATCATCTGCAAATAGCAGAGACCCGATCCTCAGGCTACCAAAACGGATGCCCTCCACACCTTGGCTGCGCCTAGAAATCCTGTCCATAAAGGTTATGAACAGAATTGGTGACAAAGGGCAGCCTTGGCGGAGTCCAACTCTCACTGGGAACGAGCCCGACTTACTGCCGGCAATGCGGACCAAGCTCTGACACCGGTCATACAGGGTCCTAACAGTCCGTATCAGAGAAGAAAAGAAGAAGAAAATATCATTTCTATAGCACTTCTCAAGATAAAAATCACGAGGCGCTTCAGAGGGCCCGGTACCCCATACTCCCGGAGTACCCCCCCCCACAGGGCCCCCGAGGGACGCAGTCAAACGCTTTCTCCAAATCCACAAAACACATGTAGACTGGTTGGGCGAATTCCCACACACCATCCAGGATCCCCCTAAGGGTATAGAGCTGGTCCAGTGTTCCACGTCCAGGACGAAAACCACATTGTTCCTCCTGAATCTGAGGTTCAACAATCCGATGGACCCTCCTCTCCAGAACCCCTGAATAGACCTTACCAGGAAGGCTCAGGAGTGTGATCCCCCTGTAGTTGGAACACACCCTGCGGTACCCCTTTTTAAATAAGGGGACCACCACCCCGGTCTGCCAGGCCAGTGAGACTGCCCCTGATGCCCATGCGATATTGCAGAGCCGCGTCAGCCAACACAGCCCCACAACATCCAGAGCCTAAAGGAACTCTGGGTGGATCTCATCCACCCCTGGAGCCTTGCCACAGAGGAGCTTTTTAACCACCTCAGTGACCTCAGCACCAGAGGCCAACCCAAAGTAACCAGACTCTGCTTCCTCACTGGAAGACGTGTCGGTGGGATTGAGGAGGTCTTCGAAGTATTCTGCCCACCGATCCACAACATCCTGAGTAGAGGTCAGCAGCACACCGTCCCCACTATAGATAGTGTTGGTAGCGCACTGCTTTTCACCCTGAGGCGCCGGATGGTGGACCAGAATCTCCTCGAAGCCGTACGGAAGTCTTGCTCCATGGTCTCACCGAACTTCTGCCATGCTCGGGTTTTTGCCTTGGCGACCACCTGAGCCGCGTTCCGCTTGGACTGCCGGTACCCGTCAGCTGCCTCTGGAGTCCCACAGGCCAAAAAGACCTGATAGGACTCTTTCTTAAGCTTGACAGCATCCCTAACCGCTGGTGTCCACCAGTGGGTTCAGGGGTTGCCACCACGACAGGCACCGACAATCCTGCGACCACAGCTCCAGTTGGCCGCCTCAACAATGGAGGCACAGAACAGGGTTCATTCAGACTTAATGTCCCCCGCCTCCCCCGTGTAAGAATTTAATTTACATGTTATTTAATGAGCCATAGGATTCCATAGTAAATATGAAATCAATCTTATGGATCTGTGGGTACTTTTAACCAGAAGATTGGAACTTTTTATTGCAGGGATTATGTAACACTTCGTATTCACTCAGAGACAACAGAAAAGAGAGTCAAGTTTTAAAAGTTTAAAGATTTATTACTAAACAAATTAAAACTAGACTAACTTTAAACACTACATGTATGGTGTCACTAAGGGGAATGAGACGGAGAATGGTGTAGTGTGGAATGTTGTTCAGAACCAGCAAATCCGGAGAAATGATTAGTTCTGATGGGATTGAAGGTGATGTCTTCGTGCTAAGCTTTGGTTAGGAGATTCATAAACACATTCAACGCCATTCTGTCGGTCTACGTACCCTTTCGGAAGTCCCCTTTAGATCAGGAATGTCGAGGTCCAGCTTGACTCTCTCTGGAACCGAAGCCAGTAGGAAAAGCAGCGGTTGCCAACCAGACCAGTCTTGAGATACTTCCGGGTCACGACAGTTTTGTTGGTATCTAGCGAGACACAAAACAGGGTTAAGCTTTTATTCTGAAAGGAACCGTTGCAGCAGGTGGAACAGCAACAGATTTTATCCAGCTTGTCGTTGGTTCTTTCGACTGAAGAGGAAAGTTACGGATTGGCCACTCCGACAACTTCTCTAGAACGCTTTGAACTGGCGTTAGAGATGATGTGGGCATAGTTTAATACTTCTGATGTTTTGGTTTATGGTCGAATGAAAAGATGACAGATTTACCAAACACCACCAAAACCACACCTCCATCAGATCTGGCAGATTCTGATTGGATCAGTAAAAGCAATGTGTCATGTCTTAACCTTTCGTTTAATCAGTCTCTAGTGGAAACATTTAAAGTTACATTACTTATTATATTCTATAGGATTATAATATCAAGTAATTAATATTTTCATGTCACAAATTGGTTCACATTTTATTATTGACTAACACTTTGTTTGATTAGCTTATTAAAACAGAGAGTTATTTGATTTATTAAAAAGAGAGTCCTTTTTTTATTGTGCTCTTGGGCTGGAAAGGAAAACAGTTTAGAAGCAAATGCATGAGTCCTTGAGGCAGTCTCATGCAGATTAGTTCCTGCTGAGGAGAGGGGGGAAATTAATTTTAGGTGGAAAACAGTCATTTCATTCCGTTACACCCGGGACATTTTGGAAGTTCTGTTGGAGGTGGGAATTGAAGCTCCTTCTTACAAGAGAGTGCCAGATGTTCCCAGCAGACCCTCACGATACGTTTGGGCCTGCCTGGTCTGACCGGCATCCTCCCCCACCATCTGAGCCAACTCACCACCAGGTAGTGGTCAGTTGACAGCTCCGCCCCTCTTTTCACCTGAGTGTCCAAGACATGCGGCCGCAGGTCAGATGAAACAACAACAAAGTCAATCATCGAGCTGCGGCCCAAGGTATCCTGGTGCCAAGAGCACATATGGACACCTTTATGTCTGAACATGGTGTTCATTATGGACAATCCATGGCTGACACAGAAGTCCATTAACAAAACACTCAAATTCAGATCAGGGGGGCCGTTCCTCCCAACCACACCTCTCCAGGTCTCACTGTCGTTGCCCACGTGAGCGTTAAAGTCCCCCAGCACAACGAGGGAGTCACCGGAAGGAGCGCTCTCCAGCACACCCTCCAAGGTCTCCAAAAACAGTGGGTAGTCTGAACTGTAGTTTGGTGCATAAGCACAGACCACAGTCAGAACCCGTCCCCCCACACGTAGGTGGAGGGAGGCTACCCTCACATTCACCGGGGTAAACCCCAACGTACAGGCACAAGATGGGGGGCAACTAGTATGCCCACCCCTGCTCGGCGCCTCTCAGTGGGAGCAACTCCAAAGTGGTAGAAAGTCCAACCCCTCTCAAGGAAACTGGTTCCAGAGCCAGAGCCATGCGTTGAGGTGAGTCTGACTATATCTAGTCGGAACCTCTCAACCTCACACACCAACTCAGCCTCCTTCCCCACCAGAGAGGTGACATTCCATGTGCCAAGAGCGAGCTTCTGTAGCCGAGGATCAGACCGCCAAGGTCCCCGCCCTCGACTACCACGCTCCTCTTTGGGCTGTGCCCGGCCAGGCTCCATGGGTGAAAGCCCGGCCACCAGGTGCTCGCCAATGGGCCCCACCTCCAGGCTTGGCTCCAGAGGGGGGCCCCGGTGACCCACGTCCAGGTGAGGGAACACGGTTTCCATTTATATAATTCATCATAAGAGGTCTTCGGGCTGCTCTTTGTCTGATCCCT